GTCCATGATCTTGATTTCATGATGTGATGCAGAATGACAGTGCTTTATAGAAGATTCTTTAAGATAAAAAATAGTCTGGCAGCAACACATTGGCAAATCCTGATCAGGCCCTCTATGCCCCACAAATTTTAGTCTAATTTTTCATGCTGTGGACAGTCTTAGTGCTCTTGACATCATATAATTGTTCTGGCTTTGCTCCAGGCCACATTTTTGATTTTCTTATTACTCTGAATTTGCTCTGGATGAGTTTTTCTACTTGTAATGGCTCTGGACCTGCTGGACTTCATCAAATTATTCTTTAATTATCTCTTTTACTCACTAGATCAAGCTTCTACTTCTAGCAGTACTTTGTACTCTTAGCTACTTGAAGTTCTGACTTTACATAATTAAATATAAGACAAACATTTTCATTTCTGTAAGAAACTCACTAAGATTTAATTTAGTTGTAAGTAACAAATCAAACTGTAAACATTATAAATTCTCAGAAACCCTTAATTATTTAATACTATATAAAAACTGTATATAAACTAGAATTTTTTTGCTTTCTGTTACTATCTGGTTTCTCATTCTTCTTATTTCTATCATTCATTTCATCTTCAGTTGAACACAGCAAGTTGCTCAGATTTATTAAAAGTAATTTATCAAGATTCATGCATTTCTCAGATATAATGAATGATGATGTATCTGATATGAGAACTCTTTTAAATAATGAATAATTTTGTAAAGATTCTTGCAAGCTTGAACCTGCTGGACAGACAAAATCTTGTAGAGACAGATCTGTATTTATCTCTAAAAGCATTTTAATAGAGTTTTCAGATTCTGTAGTTAACTACTTAACTGGTGATTATGTTACAAGAACTGCTTTGCTGATTATCACTAACTTTTTTAATGAAAGTAAGTCAAGTATTTGCTGGATTTTTTGCAGTATTAGATTATCTAAGCTCAGATTTATCATGTCTAACTATTCTAATTGCAAGTAAGTCTGTTCAAATACTTTGTAATAGAAGTTATTCACTTGTTTATATATAATATTCTCACTCTCATTTACTGTAGTATCATTCTTTATCTTAATATTATTCTCTGTCTCAGCATTAATAAAGATATCTGCATTCTCTGAAGATTCATCTAGCTGTATAACTAGTTTATTCTTATGCTTGCTAAAGAAATTCTGTATCATACTAATAATTTGAGAAATTATTTTATTCACCTGATTAAACTTGACAAAATAATTAAAGATATTTATATCATAAAAAATTCAAATCTGCTGTTTTTGTATCTGACTGAGATGGTCAACTCTATTTATAGTCTAAAGAGTTATATTTGTGTTAATTGCTGGTTTAATTATGATAATATCTAAGCAATAATAATGAATATTAATGCTGAGTGAGCAAGTACTATAAGTTATCACAAGAATTTTAATATTGCTAGTAGAGTTATTGAAGATATCTTGTATCTCTTGGTGTTTCTGAGATAACTGACCAGTCTATAAGAAAAGAATATTATACTTTAAAAACTTTAAAAAGACTTTAATATAAAATTTAACAGTCAGATATACTATAAAAACAAGAAAATAATGTTTCTCAGTATCAATAATCTTTTAAATAATCTTGAGAAAAGTTAGATATTTTGATATTGTAGCATAAAGAAATTCTGCAATCTATATATAGTCTGCTAGAATTTAGAAAATATTAGTATTAGTAATCATTCTGCTTATTAATTAGATGATTCCCTGGAATGAATGCTGTTTTTAATTAATATCTTGAGAAAGATTGTCTTTGTGCTTGTGGACTATTGACATGAATAGATTTTTCAAGATAAAAGAGAAGAACACATGTCTAAGTTATTAATAGATAGCTATATTAAAGCCTCTGCTGATATTATTTTCATTCTCAGAAAATTCCTGTATATTGCCAGCAGATTCTTTTTTTAGTAATGTAACAAGATGTAAATATACTTGATAATACTGTGTGAGTTGTCTAATCTGTATTATTTGATATTTAATTATTTGTACAGTATAACTAAAGATATTTCTGCTGATAGTAATGATTTTCTGTTTACTCTCAAGATTCATTATGTGGCTATAAGTTCACTCAAGCTGAATATGATTTAGAATTTGAGACTAGACAAGCATTATAAAATAAGATGACTTTCTTAAGGCATTTACTGTATTTGTTTGAGAAATGTAAAAGCAATTAAATATTACAAAATCTGAAGAAACTTGTGCTTTCAGTAATAAATGAGAGTCTTAATCAGATTAAGTTAAGATATACTGTCTTCAAATTTACTAATCTATCATAACTTGGAAACTGGATGGAAAGAATAACTCAAACTTAGAAAGATTAGTTAAGAAAATTATATGTTGCTTACTAGCATAAATGGGAAAAATAAATTTCTGGCAGCAGAACTATGTTTGGGTTCAAGTGCATGAACTATTCCAGACAAGTAGATTTATATTGAATGGCAAGATGATTGACCAGCTTGTGGTTATGATAACAGTTCTTAATTATTAATGAACAGAATATATAAGAAGTCAAAAGATTAATATATTATCTGCATAATCTGCAATATACAGTGGTGCATTTATTAATATATTACAAATTTATACTGGAATTCTGTATAAGATTTATAGTATAATTGAGGTGAAATTACCTGTAATATCTTAAAAGTCTTTGTCAAAAAGCTGTAATCTTGATAAATAATAAATCTACTTCATAAACAATATTATTTGTAGTGCACATGTTGTTCCAGCAACAGAAGACAAGTTTTTGCATGAAGATAAAAGACTTTTTTATATTAATAACTATATTAACTGAAATCAGTATACAAGTTTATATGATCTGAATTTTATAAACACTGGTACAGTACTAGCAAATAAGTTTTTCTCAAAACTTTAACAAGAGATAGCAAATAGAAAAGCAAAATCTGATAGAGAATCTGAGAAAGAATTAACTGAGTAATTAAAATATTCAAGAATACTTATCAGTAACTGAAAAGTTTCAGTAAATTATTAAATACATTCTTTTTACTGTTCTACTTAATAATATTGCAATGAATTATTTATATTAAAGATGAGATAGAACATCTTTATGATGATTATATAGTTAGTTGGATGGCCATAATATCTAGCTGTATGACAGATGTGCATATCTGTCAGAGTCTTGCCATACAGCTAGATATATATTTTAACATGACTTTAAGGCTCTGTCATCTATACTCTGTAACTATATTAGTGAAGATTAAAGTATTTTCTGCAGCTATATGAAATATAAAGTAACTAGTTATCTAACTGGCTAACTAGTTACAGAGTACTCTGTAACTCAGTTAACTAACTTGTTAGTTAGTCAGTTATATAATTCATAACATCTCTTAACTTCTTACAGTAACTTTACAGGCCCCAGTTCATGTTTTGCATTCTGGAACTTGATGAGTTGCATGGTTTTTTTTTAATTATTTATTACATGTGATTTAATTTGAGAATCTGTTATTTACTAAGTGATTTTCTTGAGTAATACTAATAATAATTCTCAGGAATACATTCTCCAGGCAAAGCTGTACAGCTAGCACCAGATTACTGAAAGTTAAAGATTGAAAAGTGTTAGTGATTAAACATAAACTGAAAATTAACTGTAACACATATTAATTACTATATTACTTTATTGAATGAGAGATACATCTACAACAGATATTTAAGAAGAAGCTTAGCATATAAAAGAACAGAAAGAAACTACTTGATATTATTTAATAAATAATTACTTAATATAATTCTATTTTTTATGATTATCTGACTCTCTAGACACAATATTATCTAACAGCAATAGCTCAGAAATGCAACAACAATCAAAAGTACTATTTATTCAGAGAAGAGCTTGCACATTTAAACTTAATTTCTTTATCAGATAGTAATTATTCTTAGTCCAACTCTGTTTCTTCTAATATTAATGTTGAAGAAATTATTGAGATACATAAACAGACTTGAAAACAACAGTTTCTAGATGCTACTGCAAAGCTTTAATGTATAGTTCTTACTGAGCAGAATACTAGCAGTAGCAGAATGAATGATACTTTGCTTGAATTAACAAATATAATTGTTCAATATTTAGAACAGAGAGGCACTATAATATATAGTGTAGAAGATCTTGTCAGCAACTATAAAAGTATGTCAAAGAAAAGAACAAGTATAGCAGATGACTCAGCTCTAATTTCATGTGTCTTCTTTTCATAATTAAGAACACTGCTTTAAAATAAGCTTGATCTTGACTGAAAAGATACTTAAATTTGGTACTTTGAGCTGCTGGACAATAAGCTGCTGAAAATCTGTAGAAAGTATAGCTGTTTTCTGATTTAAATCTTGACAGAGTATCAGATGATCAACTGATACTGCAATCTGAATATCTTGTCAATACAGATTAATTTAGTGAAATGATTGAGAGTGTCTGAACAAGAGTAGTGCAGATATAATATAATGGCAGATGTAATATCAGTAATATATCAAGTACTTCATCTAATAAATTAAATAAGATAAAAGCTAGAAGAATAAGTCTTATTATCTTTGTAAGATATAACAAGTTTCTAACATTATATGTTAGCTTTATGATATTGCAAGTTTTGTACAGAAGCACTTCATGAAAAAGACTTGTAATATTATAATGAAAAAACTCTCTAAATTAATAGCTAAAAAGTAGAAAGAGACTGCTGTAGATCTTCTTTTCAAAAATAGCTTTACATGTTTCAATTCAGAGAAAAAGATATATAATGTCTTTCTAAAGTGCCTATCTGATGAAATCTGCTATTAAGAAGCCTGGAATAGCAGAATGGCAAGAGATGCTTTCTGAATCTAATAGTATATATTACTGTCAGTCAGTTTCTCTATAATAGAAGTATGTACAGCTCTGCTGTAAATACACACACTATATATTTCTTTGATTCTCTGTCTGCTGGTTACATTATTTAAGTGTTAACATGTTTGTGCCACACTATCAAGAAGTATGAGACTGGTAGTCATGAATATATCAGATTTGAGAGCCAAGCTATACAGAGTAAGCTGCTTTACAGATGCTGAGTTAATTACTTTAAAAGCTAACTAGTACTGTACTTTAATAGATGTTTTTGAATATCTATAAGCTGTTTGAAACTGACAGACAGAAGAATAACAATTATATATTTGCAAAACTATTCTTGATAAAGTAAGAGCTTATATAGAATAGAATGCTTAAAAGAAGAGAAAGTCTGCTGCTGCTAATATTATTAATAAGTATGAGAATAGTTTGAATAATTTGGTGAAGCTAGACTTTGTGAAAGATACTGACAATAGTAATGAGTGTGCATTGCAGTATAGTGATATTGGAATTCTGAATAATAGTACTTTAGTTGGTCTGACATGAAGTTAACTCCAGTTTGTTAAATTGTACTAACAGATGTGAATCAAAAATATAGAAGCTTGTTGACATTAAGAATATTGACTTGGAGTATATCTATAATCTTACAAACAAGATATCTGATATTAATAAAGACAATAGAAATGACAGAAATAATAAGATTCATAAAGCCAACAGAGATAATAGAGATAATAAAGATGATGAAGATAATAGAAAGAGTAGTTCTCATGTTCTTGAGAATACAGAGTGTGAGAAGGCCAGAAAATAATAATTGATAGATAAAGCTTGCTAATCTAGTTATACAGCATAAAATAGTCAGGCTGTATAGTAAGATTAATAGTATTGAAGAGTGTATATAAGATTCTGTGTAATTGTGTTTTTCACATCAGTAGTAGTGAATTACCTGGCTGCATTACTAGATTTATTTTCTACAGTAAAGTTAAAAGCAGCATATTCATTATCACTTCTGATGTTAGCAGCAGCAGTATGAAATAAGATATTAATGCATTTGATGATAGTATTGTTTATATTAATTGTAATAATAATTATATAAGCAACACCATCAGTAGAGTGAACAAAAATATCAATAACATCTTTATTGCTATCATTAACATCAATATAAAAGAAAGCAGCTTGTGTGAATCAATAGAAAATAACAGATCTAGTAGATACAACAGAGTTGTTGAAAATAATAGCATTCACAGAATATACTAAATTAACAGCAGATATAGCAAAGGCACTTATTATATTAGAAGTTGCTTGGAATCATTACAGAGAAAAATACTTACCAGGGTGAGTTCAGGAAAGTGACATAAGCACAGACACTCTGGCTGCCCAGACACCCAGGGCTAGCCCTGGGCCTGGTAGGGATTTGCCAATACAGCATTTAATGGCTTCAGAGTTAAGTCTATAAAACTCTTACACAAGTACACTCATATATTTTATGCTGTATAGATGATGTAGATTGACTATATTAAAACTATAGTATTCTTCTTGAAGTCTTAAAAGCTGATAAATAAGTCTGATAGTGAATTCTGGAATCTATATTCATATTAGAATAACAAGAGAGACAAATAAAAACACATGTCACATATTATGACAGATTTGAGTCTGATGTTCTAAGCAATACACACATGATTCTTGACCGATATTCTATATATATGGTGTGAATTTGTCTAAGCAGTCTGTAAATATCAAGTATATGCAGATGGAATATAGAAGACCATCTTTCTTATTATAAAAAATAGAATCTTTTGATGATAATATTATAATGAGCTAGATTGAAAGAAATAATAATGCTTGCATCCAGACAGAGTAAAAGAAAAAGAAGAAGAAAAAGAGTGAAGAACTCTTTATTTATATTCATACAGCAATGTACTAAAATTGCTAGTTCTATAATTTGTTAATAGACAACACAATAATAAATAACAAGTAATATAGCAACCAGATAAGCAATCAAACAAAGAAATAATAATATGATAAAATGCTGAACTTTTGTAATAAAATAATTAATGTTCTATAATAAAGAATATGAAGAATGTCTACTACAACTGGTGATGATATGCATGTAGAATATCTATATAGACAAGTGATAGAGATGCAGAAGTCTGCACATTCAAGAACCTATAATACTTCACTAATAACAGGAGATAGCTATGATAATATATGAAAAAACCACCTTGGTGGCTCTATATCTTGAAGTGTAAGGCCTCTGGAGAGAAGAATAGTATTATGAATGTAGGTCTAGATCAATCTTGCATCAGATAATGTTGAATATTTGGAATACCATGTGGTCATATCTCTGAATGTATAAGAATTGCACAATTCTCATGAATTATGGAAATCTTAGTGTTCAGTCTTCTAGTTAGCAGACCTATATGTTTTACACATGACTCCTTTCTATCAGTTGTGGGCATTACACCTATTTAGCTCTTTCATACCCTAAATCTAAAATGAGCTATAGAGTCTATGTTGGGTCCTCTTCCAACATATTATTTAATATTATTAGCTGATAATGTTGTTCATATTTCTTCTAATACTGATGTTTAAAAATCTCTATATCTTCTTACTTCTCTTCATGGTAAAATGTCACAAATTCAGATTGAGATTGAAAATATGCAAGTATTTATTAATTAGCTTGCTACATATCTAACCACTAGAATAAAAGAACCTTATAATACAGCTGAAACTAATTTTGTATATTTACTCTATTATTCTTGTTTATTCCAGACTAATTACTGTATAAATAAACATTACTTCTTCTATTAATAATCTAACTGATGCTGTTACTTCTGGATTTTAGAATATTGTGAATGTATTTTGCATAATTTATTATTCTTCTGATTCTGTACCTGCTGTTATATCTTTGTCTGTTGCCACACTATCAGTTATAGTACTGTTTGTTGTTATATTATCAGTTCTAATAACTTCTGAATTATGTCTGTTTTTGACTAGCTTGCCTCTATTATAGCTGTATTTTAAGTGTTCTTGTAGTATCTCTTCTTATTATTAAGTCTTCTTTTTATATGTAGATTTGTTTGTCTTCTGGTAGCTATACCTTTTTTAAGGTTTTTCTCAGATTCATATATTGATTTCTTAATAGAGAATTCTTTTCACTTCACTAGATAATATTTCTTATAATATTACATCTTGTTGTCTAAGATTTTGCTTACTTCTCACTCATAATAATTATTTATCAGTACTATAAAGAGATGTATTAGTGTCTCACTCTTTCTTATATAATATAGTTTCAATAATGAGACATAAAAAATATTATAAATCTGATAGCTCAGAAAGAGCTTCAGTTAATATATATTAGTTTCTATAGTCTCTACTACTGAAAAGAGTCTGTAGTACTTGTTGTTTAACTTTTTATAATAGTATATTATTTGTAAGTTTCTTGATAATAATATTACTTTGTCATCAGATACATATATCTTGTCTTGTTGTTTATAATTATAAAACTATACTTAATCTTCTTTTACTTTTATTAAATATTCTACCAGACTATTTTTTAATGTAGAGATTATTCTCAGTCTTCTATTGAATATCATCTGTATATTATCAGTCAACTTCTGAATCTTATCTGATTCTCTAAATTCAAAGCTGTATATTACTTTAAACAGAGATATATATAATGTGAAGTATTCTGATCTCTTATATGCAAACTCTGCATACATAAGTTACTTCTCTTAATTATCTTGTTTATAATTATAATAAATACAGAGATATCTTTTCAAGATCTTGTTCAGTGTCTTTATTTAACTATCTGTTTATAAGTAAAATACTGTACTAAGTTTTTATCTAACTTTTATATGAAAATATAGCTCTGACCAATATTGGCTTGTAAAGACAGATTTCTAGTCTAAGATAATATTATCTGAAAATCTGAAGTTCTTGAACATCTTTTTCAGTAAGAGATGTACTATCTTTAGTGTATTAATCTTCTTTCTACACACAAGAAAATATGCAAGCTTTGTAAATTAATTTATAATAATCAGAACTGTATTATATAAATTTCTTTTCTCTCTCTACTTAAAGAAAGATCTGTTATAAAGTTTATGAATATTAAACATCAGAAACTACTGAATATTAGTAATAAAGTAAGTAACTTATATAGTTTGTGCATTAGAGTTTTTTCTTGTTAGTAGATTTGGTATTTATGTATATATATCTGAATATCTTATCTTATTAAGTATTATTTATATTTTCACTAAAGTGAGACAAATGTCTTTACTATATTAAAGTAACTAGTAAATAAATTATTATGATAAACTTATAGTAGTTTCTGTTTAAGAACTAAATTACTGAGAATATATATTCTGCTGCTTTTTATTGAAAGATCTTGTTTATTTATTTTTTACTCTGACTGCTGGAATTCTATTTTAGTAAATCTTGCTTGTATAAAGAAATTGTTTCTCTATATCTCTAGTAACAGATCTAATATACTTACAGTTAATTTATTATAGATTTTTTTGTCTTTTGTTACTATATTTACATATATATAAAGAATCCAGAATCTTCTCTAATTTCTATATTAAGTTCCCCCAGGATTTCTGACTGGTACTTCTTGAACTAACTTAATTATTATCTTGATATCACTAGATCTTTTCTGCACTATCTTTACTCTGCTGCTTTAAACAGTATAAGTAGCATGTCTTTAAATACTTTCTTTATTAAAGAAAGTTTCTTTAAATAAGTCTTATTCTGAAATGTTATTTGTGTCATGTTGTTTAAGTGTATATATTGGCAGACTGATATTTTCTTTTAGTTTAATATAGTCTGGTCTTTATAATAATATATCAGCTAGTTTATACTTTCCAGAGTGATAGAGAATCTCAAAGTCATATACTCTGAGAATCTCAATTCATCTTATATATTATTATTGTGCCATCTTGTTTGTGAAGTTTAAAAATAAACAAAGATTTGTATAGTCTGTAATAATTTCTACAGAATACTTCATCTCTTTTAAGTACTACTATTAATAAATAAATACTCAGACAATAGCTAATATCTTCTTATCTAGTATACCATAGACTTATTAAGTCTAATCAAACTTGAATAATTAGTAGATAACTAAGTATTATCTACCTTCAAATAACTGTAGTAATATTATATCTGCAGTATATTTTAAAGCATTCATCTTCAGATATATTTTATATTCTGAATTATAGTGTCAGATAATAGACTTTCTGAAGAAGACTGTCTGTAACTTATAAAACATTTCTCTGACAGCAAATATCAGAAGAAATAATTCTTTCTTCTGTTTATTTTCACTACTCTTCAAGAGATCTGTTAATAGCATTATAATAACTAACTACTTATGTATAAATCTTTTATAGAAGTTCACAAAACCCAGAAATATCTGAATATTATGAAAACTTTATAGTAAAGTCTACTTTATAATTATCTGTATCTGCTTTGAGTTCATCTTAATATCTTCAGTATTAATAATATATTGAAGGTACAAAATTATTTATCTTTTGAAAGCATACTTAGCAAGTTTTGTAAATCACTAATATTCTCTTAAATGCTTTATAACTAGTTTAATATGTTTCTCATACTCCTTCTCTAAGACTGAGAAGATAAACATATTATCTAGATAAACTACACAGAATATATTAATCAGATCTGCCAGTGCTCTATTAATATAGAACTGGAAGATCACTACTACATTTGATAATCTAAAAAATATAACAAGATACTCAAAACTTTTAAACTTTATACAAAATATAATCTTCTATTTGTTCTCTTTTCTGATTCTAATTCAGTGATAAACATCATATAAATTCACTTTAGAAAAGTAGTATGCTTTTGCTAGTTAGTTTAATATCTTATCTATCAACAGCAGAGAGTAACAGTTCTTTATTATAACTGTATTAAGATTATAATAATTAATACAGAGTCTGAGTTCTTCATTAGCCTTAAGCACAAATATGTTATGAATCTTGCAGCACAATGACAGAACACACAGAATGATTGGATGACACTTGACAAGGCAGAATTACAAACCATTGTGAAAGAACCTTAAGATGAGAATCATGTGACCAGCAATAGAACTGATAAGCTGACCAATTGCACTGAGCATGATAGAATTGATCAGAGAACATAGCAAACATATTATGATACAATAGATAGGACAGCTTAGTGGAACTATCACCAGAGAAGTATCATGTATATAAGAACACTTATTATCAGAGATTTAATAGACTTGTTTATTGTGATCAATCTTCTTACTTATCTACTAGATACCTTTGAATCAGATACTTTTATATCTTGATTACTTTCTATACTACTGAAGTTCTGTAATACTGTACAACTGTATCTGATTTTGCTACTCTTGAGAAGACTTTATAATCTTGCTCTGACTCTGTTATATCTGCACAGAAACTTTTTATTATTAGAGCAAGACTGGTGGCTTAACTAAAGCACTATTGAATTATTGATCACTACTCCAATCTGTTATTACTTACTGTGATACTCTTTGACTCTCAAAGATTCAACAGTGTCACACAAATACATAACATATTAATTACTTCTGACTCAGAAGAGAATATACCTGAGATTTCAGAGATTATATATAAAGAAAGAACTTTCTGTATCATGTTAAAAGATAAAAATATAATTCCACTTCATATCAAGATCTAACAGAATATAGAAACTATGTCTGCATTCAAAGCACCAGCTATTAATACTCAAGATCTTATAAATAGGATCTTGCAGCTTGAACAGATTATCAAGAAACTTGGAGAGCAGAATCATGAATTGAAAGATCATAATAAGCAGCTTGAGATCCAGATCATGATTATCTTATTCACTGGACAACAGAAAAAGAAAGATAAAGCTAAAGTTAATTCACCAGAACTCTTCAAGAGCAAACAGAGAAAATTACAAGCTTTCTTGAGTTAACTATACATCTACATGAATATGAAAGGCAAAGAACTCAACAGTAACAAGAACAAGATAATGATAGCAGTATTATATCTTTGTGAAGCAGTATTCAATTAGTTCATCATCTATCTGCAGAATTACTACAAGAAAAATGAAGATAATCAGAATAACAACATACTCAAGATTATTAATAGTTACAACATCTTTATTTAAACATTGAAAACCACTTTCAGAGAAGTCAAGAAACAAACTGTAGCAGTCCAGCAGCTATATCATATATGACAAAAAAAATCATCACAAGACTATGCTGTAAGATTCCAGCAAGTCTGTATTAATACTGATTAGAACAACAAAGCCTTAGCTAACACTTTCTATCAAGAACTATTTAATAAGATCAAAAACAAAATAGTGCAATTGGAAAAACAACTATACATTCTGACTAAAATAATTGAAGTGGCAGTCAGAATCAGAAACCAACTTTATGAATGAAAGATGAAAAAACAAGAAAAAGTACTATAAAAGAGAGCTAGTCTGTTAAATCATACAGGAAATCAAGATCAGAACAAGCAAGTACAATCAGATTCTTATAAATATACACTTATAAAGCTAGACACAACAAAGTTTAACACTCTTGATGAGAAAGAGAAAGAATGAAAGAAAAAGAAAAAACTATGCTTCTACTATATCAAGCTGAAACACTGAGCAAGATAATGCAGAGCAAAGAAGACAGATTAAAAAGACAAGAAACTCAGAGCAATCTTAAAAGAAAATGGAGAAGACTTTAAAGTAAAATAATATCTTTAAGTAACAACTCAGAAAGAGCAAACTGAAGAAGAACTTCAACAACAGTTCAGAAAGATATTCAAAGATCAAATTATGAAAGCTTATCTGAAGCTACTCCAGCAGCCAGAAAGTGAACCAAAATGTCAAAACAAGCTGAATGATGAAAAATGAAAGTTATATGAAGAATTATGTACAAGAATAAGAAATGAATCAAGTGATGATTGAGAGATTCAACTACTTAACTGCAAATATTATTACAGATAAAAAATGAACAAAATTCAAGATCCAAAACATAAGAAACATACTTAATACTCAATCTATAGATGTTCATGCAAACTTCACCAGAAACAACAAGAAGAGTTTAAATAATAGATACAGATTACAGAAGACTTTATGTATTACAGAGACTATAGCTGCAACATCAAAAATTATCAGCATTGCAGATGTAATACTGAGAAGAAAGAATGAGAGATATCAGACTTACAGAATATCTCATATATAAAATACTTAGATCACACCAGAATTTATTGAAGCTTTTATTACAAGACTAATTGCTCTATTCATCAAGATAGAAAGAATAATAAATATTATTCACAATCACTAAAGAAGCTGCAAGCAACCCAGAAACAAGATAACAGCAATGACAAAGAATATTGATTGAACAAGAAAGAAAAGCTCATACTAAAATTAAAAAAAGAGCTAAGCTGGAAAATACTAGAATTTAAGAAACATAAAGAAGATATCATAAAAAAATTAAGTCTTATAAAAAGTGAGATACTTGAAGAGAAAAAATACTTAACAGCAAGAACACTACAGATTCAAGGCAATCAATTATACTGAACAATATGTGAAGAAAACAACAGATTATTAGTGATAATAATGTGTGAACAGTACTGGAGTGAAAAACAAAAAGAGATAAAAGAATCAGACTACTCTTGCCATAACAAATTTAAGTATGAATGCCAATGCAAATTCCACAAAAATAAGAGATTTTGGAAAATGGCAAGATTTCTGCATGATTTAGAAGAATGTGAAACCTGTACAGAATGCAGAGACAACAAGTATATATAAAGAATACACAAGATCTGATATACTAATAAAGAAAATTGCATAATATATAAACAGGCACTCAAGACAACTCTTGTTAATTCAGAAAACAAGTAGACTATCATAAACAAGAGTCTGTAAGCAGTATGAATAGGCAAGCAAAACTGTTAGCCATTAATAAACAAATTTGTCATCTCAGAGTTACAGTAATCTTACTTGAATCAAAATGTGCAACAGTCTTAGTGAACTCAGAAGTAACTGGACTATTTATTAACAGAAGATTTACCAAATAAGCTGGTATTGTGAAGCAAATAAAGAAATACTTCTATCAGTTATCAGAACTAAAAGAAGGAACTCTGAACAGAGTTGAAGAAGAGATATACTTCATTAAAATAAGAATAGAACAATATTATGAGAAAGTGCATTTCAAAGTAACAAATCTAGAGAACTATAATATAATCTTGAAATACTCTTAATTGAAACAGCACAATCCAGAAATAGACTGGCAAGAAGAAAAGATTAGACTGACAAACTATAGATGCTCTCTTGAACCAGAAAGTCATGATCAGAGATTCATACTCAGAAACAACTTAGATAAGATACTGACTGTAATAAGTCAGGTCAATCAGAAAATACCACATGAAGAACAATCAATTAATATTACAAAGACCTATGAAAACCTGACTTATAACAAAAAAGCAGATCAAATAATAAAGAAATTCAATAACTTAGTGCAGCTGCAAGTACAAAAGAATGACCAGAATGAAGAAATCAAAAAGACTCTATCAAGAGAATTTTGAGAATACATTAATATATTTAGAGAAAAAAATCAGAGCAACAGCTTACCAAAGCATGAATTCTGAAACCATAAAATAAAGCTACAAGAAGGAAAGCAACTAACAAAACTGCTAATATACAGGTTAAACAAAAAAGAATCAGCTGAAGTGAAGAAATATATTAAAAACAATCTTCAAAAAAATTACATAAGAGAGTGAATATCACCAGCAGAATACTCAATACTGTTTGCATCAAAGAAAGATAAAACTCTACAACTATGTATGAATTATAGACAGTTGAACAGCATTATAGTCAAAAACTGTTATCTGATACTACTGATCAAGAAAGTGCAAGACAGATTGAGAGAAGTAACATGGTTTACTCTAATTAATATTAAAGATACTTATCATCAGATACAAATTAAAGAAAATGACAAATGGAAAACAAATTCCAAAACAAAATATCTTGATGATGTGGTTATATATACCAAAGAAGACTGAAAGAATCACACTGCAAAGATTAAAAAAGTACTAGAAAGACTACAGAAATATAATCTACCAGCAAAACTGAAAAAGTATGACTTCCATAAGAAAGAAATTAGATACCTCAGACACATCATATTAATGGAAGAAATACAGATGGAACCAGGAAAAATTGATAAGATACTATAGTAGCTGACACTAAAAGAAGTCAGAAAAGTGCAGATGTTCTATAGACTAGCAAACTACTACTAATAATTTATACATGAATTTTTGAAGGAAGCAAGACTGCTCATACAGCTATTCAAAAAAGACAAACTATTTAGATGAATAACAGAGTGCAAACAAGTATTTAAAGCAATAAAAAACAAATTCAGAAAAGAAGAAATGAGAAGGCACTATAATCTGACAAAAAGATGTATAATTGATACAGATGCATCAGGCTGCATAATAACAGAAAGACTATAATAATCAGATAAATAGAAAGACTGAGATTAGTCACATGCTATACAAGAACAATAACACCAGCTGAACAGAACTACAATATTCACAATAAAGAACTACTAGTAATAGTAGCATTACTAAAGAAATAAAAGATTAAACTACAAGAAAATTAATATTAAACAGAAATTATTCCAGATCACAACAATCTGCAATACTTTATGACAACAAAAGAGCTTATGAGAAGACAAGCCAGGTGGTACACAGATGTACTGATACACTATAACTTCAAGATAAGACACTGCAAAGGCATGGAAAATGCCTGAATGGACATGCTAAGCCAAAGACCAGATCTGATGAAAAAAGAACAAGATTCAAGAACACTCTTTAAAAAATTGAAAGAAATAAAGAATATGATTCTGGATCAACAGACATTAAGAGCAACAAGAATTATTACAGAAGAATCAGACATTAAAGAAAGAATTAAAGAAGCAATAAGAAAAGATGAATACATAAGAAAGATTGACAAAGAAAATAAAAACTTCAAGAAAGAAGATGGAATGATACTATATCATAAGCTGATATATATACTCAAAAAGGTCAGAAAACAAGTAATGGTATAAGAATATGATACAGTTACTTCAGAATATTTTGGAACTGACAAGATGATAGAGAAGATTATAAGAACTTACTATTGGTCAGAAATGTAGACAGATATTCAATAATGTGAGAATTGTACATATGAATTGGCGTGACAATGAATCTATAGAAGAAATTGTATGTGGAAAAGAGTATACAAGGTAAAAAATCTGGTATTGGCAACTATGTATGACTTGTAGACAAGATTGCTACTGGCTCTCAACAAGAAGTTCATACAGTGGTGACCTTTTATGTGTGCTCACAAGCACATGACTTAGTGCCTTGTGAGAACACATGTACTTCCAACAGCTTGCAAGCTGAGGCCCTGGGCCCTTGCAGGTGTTATTTATCTGTGTAAGAGGTTTGCAGGTGAATTCTTACAAACAATATATTAAAGAATGTGAGATGTGTGCATGAAGCAAAACCAACAAAAATCAACCATATGAAAAACTGCAACCAATACTACAACTGCAAGAACTATGAAAATTTATAGCAATGGACTTCATCACAAAACTTCTGAACTTAAAGAACATGAAAGAAAAGAAGTACAACTCAATACTAGTAATTATTAACAGATTAACAAAATACAGATACTTTATATCATTCAGAAAAGCAACAACAGCACCAGACACAGCAATGATAGTACTATAAAATATACTTGCTAATTACAGAATGCCAGAAGAGATAATTACAGATCAAGACACCAGATTCACAAGCAAATTCTGGACAACATTAATGGCACAACTGGAAATCAAACAAAAAATATCAACAGCCTACTATCTATAAACAGATGAACAGACAGAATAATTAAATCAAATCTTGAAGCAATATCTGCAAGAATATGTTAACTAT